AAGACCAATAAGTCCCATACTATTTTTAAAAAGCTTGGATAACTTAATAGAACAAATTCCTGACGGATGATTATTATGTAGCAGATTTGAGTAATACCTTAAATGCAATAACTCCTACAATGCAAAATAGGTAAATATATATTAAAAATTACAGCTTTGTTATTAGAAAAATACTGAAACTCATAACTAGCCCGACTCAATTGTAACGCTATTGTTTTATTAATTAGGATGTTAACTTTTATTATCATATAGCCGGACGGCGTGGACCAATCAGAGGCCCGGATACCCGTGCTGTTATTTCCCGATAACAGCACATGTGGTGTTATGGCGGAATAACAGCACATGTCGTGTTATGGCTGATACCATTATGTTATAGGGTATAAGGGCATGCGACTCTTTCTGTAAACCTTTGTAGCATTTTTCTGTCCAATAAACTTTTTTGTTTAGCTTCATTTAAACTACAATTTGCATTAAATGAAATTATCCATATTTGTTTTAAAGCGTATAATATATTCGAATGTATTTTATGTATGTATATATATTAAAGCTGTTGTATTTCAAACAGGAATTGTGTTGATTGACAGTTTGGATAGGCTATATGATAATAATTTTAATGCAATGCCTTTTCCTCGTTGTATATGGTGTCATAACTGCATGGGCAGCTGCCATAACCACCTCATAAACCACCTCGTTCGCTTCGCTCACACGGTGGTTTATTCGGTGGTTATGGCAGCTGCTCATGCAGTTATGACACCATATACAACTCGGGGCAGTGCATTAACCCTTTATTATTCTATACGTCTTCTTTGTACTATGTTCATTAGCTGTTGCCATTAATTGTACGTGCAATAAAGTTCTTCTTCTTCTTCACACGTAGTAGTTAGCTAACTAACCTGCCACTGAATCCACAAAGACGCTGTACAGAATCCTAAAACTGCCGTTCCCGCTGTTATCTGACGTCATCACCAACACCATCTGTTGTCCGCTGGACAGCACCTCAGGTGGGACGTCACTGCCGCAAACCGTCGCAAGGACCATGCCCTGCTCGAACGTGCCGTCGTAAATCGAGAGGGAGTCGATGCACCGTCTGCTGTTGGTGGACTCGATGTTCAGGTCCAGGAACCTTAGGGAGATGCGGCTGTTTTCGAGCTCGCTGACAATCTGGGGATTCAAAAGAACCCATTATATGTCAGTATAGGAAACAACACAAAAGTTAGTACGAAACCACATTTAGAAATGACACTTTTACAGGATCATCCTGTCAAGAACAAAAAAATTGCACTATCGGCACGATCATCCTGCCAATAATGGGGAAAATTCCCCTTGGATATTCTGTCAATACTGCGAAATTTTCTGTTATTGACAGGACGCGGATAGTGCAAAATATTATGTTGTTCACAGGATGATTGTGTCAATTCTTGCCATTCGATTCCTTTTTGAAATAGAGGGAAAAGAAGGAAGTATTATATTATAACAATGCTTCAGACAGGTACATGTGTAAATTCCGACTGTTTTAAAAGACTACATCTGCTGTAAACCAATGATTAGCCAGGAGTGTTACAACCCAAGCAATTGTTACATTACCACATGATATAAAAAAAAAAGACTGTAACGTTTTCTGACAGCCGAACTTCTCTAGTCAATGAAACCCCCAGCAGACAACGTTACGTTCTTGTTAGACATTCCGGACCCATACATCTGCTTGGAGATTACTCAAAAGGGGATGATGGTGATTTGTTGAAAATCTTATACCTGATAAAGCGAGGTTTTGTAGCGGGTTTGTTTTACGTGGGGGTGCTTGGGAGGCAGCCAGATAGAGACAGATCTACCGGGAGATACATCTGCCGAGGCGCTACGCTCCCGGAGGAGGCATTCAGCCTTGAGTGAGTCAGTAAGTGATAAAGAAGGATATCGTATAACAAACCGTACGAGATAACACTAGCTGAAATTGTGTTACATTGTAGGTACTCTAATACAGTTCGAAAAGGCTGGGATTTGTGACGTATTCTGACGTATAGACTATGGAAGTTTTGCGTTCGCCTTACTCTGACTTGACAGTTGACTGACGGCCAGTACTCAAACCGTATGAAGCCGGCGAGGTGCACCCTGGGCGCCACATCGGTGGGTAGGGAACACCAGGTGAACATGTCAACTGGAAAAAAGGAGATACCATTGTTCTGATGATTCTCTGTACGGTTTTATGGGATGGACAGATATTGCAAACTTCTACAGTCGTGAGCTGACAGATCACCTAACAGAATTCAAAATGCCTTGTACAACATCAAAAGGTGTAAATACAGCGCTTGGCTGAAGACAGTTCTTGCAAGAAAAGGTTGTCATATCGATGCAGAGAAAAGTAGAAGTAGCCTCTACCAGGCTTGGGGAGGCGGCGAACTGTTCTCGCAACGGACAAACTCCCTTGGCATGCTTATCCCTCTATTTGGCCGATTTCTACTCTTTCCAGCCGCCTCCCCAAGCCTGGTAGAGGCTAAAGTAGAAGGTCTAGCCAACAAACAAATAAACAAACAACAGCAATAACAATAACAAAAACGAAGTAACTATTTGACTTACAGTCTACTAAAAAAATGATGTGAAATCAATAATAATATTTGACCTTACTTGTTGAATATCTAGCCACCATAGCCTGGACTGCCCTGGAACATAATGCTACTAAAAATCCAGATACCAAAATATTCATGTCGAACGTTTCATGGTTGGAATTGAAGAAAAACTCCCGTCTGCACGACGACCGCTGACTCTCTACTACATCTTCAAATGAAGTTCCAAGGCTTCAAAGTTACCAAGCTAGAAAAAGCCAAGTGTTTTCCCCTGTATTTAGCAACAAGGTCATGACGGGGTTATGGGTAGTCAGGAAAAATGACCCCTTTTTTGTGAGGTTCAAGGAAGAATGTTGAGACTTTCTTAAGGTTTATAATCGCATCGTTACCTGTAGTTGACACACCTGTTAGAAAGTGGTTCCAGCAGCTTAAGTTAGGAACCTTGATCCCCGATATAGCGTGCTACAAGAGGCTTACGGGGTAAAGCGGTTGTAAGGTGACTACTTGAAGTTCGAGACGGATAACTGGTTTTCATTAGTGACGCTTTGTCGCGCTTTGAAATTCGGACTTGAGGGTCAAGGATTAACGGTCGGCATTGCTCTTGTGACCACCAGAGCACGGAAGAAAATAACAAACAAACTAACAAACAAACAAATAATAAACAAACAGGAAACTCTATATAAACCTTGACTCGTAACGGCACGGTGTGAAATGTTATCTTCAGGGGTAAACTCAACTCACTGCTAGAAAGGGTTCATTCCCAAACAGATCTTCGGGTGTAAAATCGCAAAGGTTTCTGACTCACCAACAGAACAAATGGACGATATCTAATCGGTAGGAGCTCAGATTAGCTTAGCTCAGATGTAGAGCACACATTAGTTTCTTGGTTGTTAAAAGATATATATTGTATTGTAAATATAATTTTTTTAATGACAGCATCAAGATTTAATATGTTACTGAATTAAAAAGTTCATGCATCGGCCGGGAATCGAACCCGGGCCTCCCGCGTGGCAGGCGAGAATTCTACCACTGAACCACCGATGCTGAGATAACACACGGATGCAAACTTGGAAAATTGAATAAAAACAGGTGTTACTGTTCACGCGCAGAGACCTGCAGGCTGGTATTTAATCGCTTGGAGGCGCTTCCAAGAAATACTAGTACTTAGTAGTGTGAAGAGGAATTCTACATTGTATCTAGACTAGATAGTAACATATGGTAACGTCCAGTGGGTGAATCTGACCGCAAGTGCTCCGACTAATAAGGAGTCATAAAGACATATGTTATAAAATCTTTATCAAGCCACGAAGAGCGCATATACAACATCAATTGAATGTCTAACGCTATATGTATTTATATATGACCTGTGTTACCTCAAGTCAACTTGAACGGAGTTCTAGATAATGTTTTACGAACTTCAAGGACTTCAAGAGTTTTAGACAAAGAATGGTTCGATTGGAAAGTAACGTTTAAGTCCTTAGTTCTAAACCTCTCAAAGAAATAGAAGACACTTAACCACCGAACAGGGGTGCCAAAAAATTTATCAGAATTTTATGGAATTCATACGATCCTTACTAGGAAACATACGAAGTTTACGGAATACATAAGATCCTTACTAGAAACATACGAAGTTTACGGAATGCATACGATCAATTACTAGAATTAGAAACATACGAATTTTACGGAATACATACGATCCATTACGCGGAATACATACGTTCCTTACTAATTTGGTGACTTGCACCCTGACGATCACGTGACATCGGCAGCAAATACAAGTTGGCGGACTAGTACTATTATAGCGATGTTCTCCCTACAATACCTTGGTTTCAAAGACTTTTAAGGGCTTGTCCTGCCCTGCTAAATCCAAAACAGCACTTATGCGGACTTCTTTCACGACATAGTAGCCTGTATTTTAGATCAAATAGCAGGGCGATGCTGGAAACAGTACTCTCCAAGCAGAGGTTTGGGTTTGGGGTTATTTTTGGCATGTTTTTAGGCTTTTTTATCGGAGTTTCTCTTTTGCACTGGAATTTTTTCCCACCAAACTCCAGGTGCTTCTCAAGCCTGGTAGAGACTGAGGAGATCTGATGAGTGACCGGGTACATTTTGCATAGCGACCGCTAGTCGGCGCTTCTACTCCATGGCTGTGGGAAGGTGGAGCAACAACATGGCGGAACGTCAGGGTTTGGAAGAGACAAGCTCTAGGGAAGCTCGGAAGATTGCCCAGAAATGTCAGCTTCTCGTTAAGGCGGAGACTCGCGCACGGGTGAAAAAGGTTCGAGGATACTTCTAAAATCGTTTGAATGTTTCATTGTCGGTTGATTCGTGAGATTTTTAAAGAAATGACTGCAGTTTCGAGTACGACATGTTGCACCCCCTGTGTAGAAGCCACGTTATGCTGCTGTAGTTTTGTTGTGTGTGTGTAGTCGCTGCTTTTTTAACGTCCTAACCAGCAGCATCGTCAAATTTTGCATTAAAGCCAAGCATTAAAAATATATTCGCGTTGTTATTTTTGTCCAGATCTCTGAGATTTTGAAGAAACCAGAGGACACTAGAACCAAGGAAGAGGTGCAGATTTTACAGCAGTCGCCAGACGTCGTTGCTGACATGCAGAAGAGAGCTCGTCGGAGGGATAAACTGAAAGAGCAACTGAAGGAGGTCTTCATAAATTCATTTGTTCACGCATAAGGAAAATTTGCATTTCTAACATCAGTCAAAACACAGCATATTATCAATGAATAACACTAAAATTTCTGCATATATTTTCTCATGAATTTTTTTGTCATACAAACTGTATAACCTAACAGGTAGAAGACCCACCTGAAGTTCTGTGTAGGAAAGCAAGTGAGCTGGCCACAGCTGTACAACAGGCCAGGCACCTGGTGGTGTACACGGGAGCAGGCATCAGTACGGTTAGTTATCACCTAACTTACCAGTTAGTTAACTTGTTAATTAACCTGCACAGTATTGTATGACTCCGAGATGTCCTCATCAGCAGTCCAACAGGTGGCATTCACTGGAGCAAATACATTTGTTTTGATGTGTTAGTTAGTTAGTTAATAGTTACCTAACCTGTTTTCAAAATCATATCCAGTTGCTTGAGTAACTGTTTTTTGGCATATCGTATTACCTGGATGTCTAACCTTCATCGACGTACCTAACCTGTTAGTTTATCTGTAAAGTAAGTCATGTTAGCTTGATGGCCATAGCTACATTTGCAAGCACATTTAACTCTCGGAAGACGGAGAACAACAGATCTGATGCTAAACCAGATAGTGAGAGTGAGTGAGCACTAGTGGAGGCATCTTTTAAGGTTTTAATTTGTTAGTTAGATAGTTATCTGCACTGGAAGTTAACCATTAATATGGCATAGAGTGCTGCCATTTTTTTACTCCACCTTCCAGGCTGCCTCTATCCCTGACTACAGAGGACCCAACGGTGTGTGGACACTGTTACAGCAGGGAAGACCTGTAGAGTATGTAACATCCCCTTTTCCTCCTATTATATCATATTATCAGAATGTGTATGCAGTTGAATAATAGTTGTTCTATGCCTGTAACTTTTGTACTCTATGTTTGTAGTACTAAGTAAAGACAAAAATGTTGGCATAGAAAACTACATCTAATCCATTTGGATAAGATAGCAGGGTTTTTTTCAGACATACAATGACAATGTACCTGTTATTAATGATTTGTATACATTCCCACTACTTTGTTTCAGAACCAGGAGTCTTACTGATGCTCAGCCTACAGTAACTCACATGGCGTTGGCCAGGCTACACCAGGAAGGTTATGTGAGTAGACTTCCTCATTTTAATGTTGACACTGTTAGACTTTAGACTGTTCTGACAGATGTAGCTGTTTTGTTTTATTTGTCTTTCTTACACCTGTCTGTGCCCATGGCAGGTGAAACATGTGGTGTCTCAGAACTGTGACGGGTTGCACCTGCGGAGTGGGTTACCCAGGCAGGCTCTGTCTGAGGTCCACGGGAACATGTACATTGAGGTAAGATAAACACAAACACAACATTGTACCAGAAGGCATTCTGTATACATCGCGATTGGTAGCCATGTAAAGTCCTTGTAAGATGTGTTTAAACCTCGTGCAAAAGCCTTGTAACTGCATGCACTTATTATAATTAGCTACAATTGTATGTGGCTAACCACACACGATTACATGATCATCTACATGCTCTCTACACAAAGACATGAGTTTGATTTAAATGAGAAGTGCATAGCTTTTACATGTGTTTTAATCAAGACCTGTACAAGTACCTGGCTGTTGGTCGCGAGCTGCACACTTGCACACAGACCTGTACTGAAGTGAAGTGATTCCATGTGTTCCTGCAGGTGTGTACAGAGTGTGATCCAGAGTTGGAGTACATCAGGTTGTTTGACGTGACGGAGCGGACGTCATTACACCGACACATGACAGACCGCAGCTGTCACGCCTGTGGGGAGCCACTCAGGGACAGTATCGTGCACTTCGGCGAGCGCAGCTGTCTGGAACAGCCACACAACTGGGAGGACGCCATGGACAACGCCAAGAAAGCAGACACTATTTTGTGCCTTGGGTCCAGTTTGAAGGTTATTTTTCATTTTATTTTATTTTATTTTATTCACATTTATTTTTAGTTTTAGTTTTAAAGGAGTGGGCAAAAAGTACATACTTACCTCCCCTCTCTACACACACAGATGCAGTAGCATCAACAAAACAAAAACAAGATACGAATAACAATAAAGAGAAAATGTGGCACAAGATGTGCTGGTGTACAAATCATAACAAATCAGGTAAAATGACCATTCTACAAAACAAAGTTGAAGGTTGTTATGATAGTAAAGGCTACTGACTCTTTATCCTTCATTGCTCTGCCTTCCCTTATTTCCAAACAACTTTATGTTTACCTGGAAAATTATATCCCTGTAACCTTCAGATTTTTTGCTGACATACATATTTATGCATTTTCTTACCATCAGGTGCTAAAGAGATACAGCTGTCTATGGGGTAAGACTAGGGTCTTACACAAGAGGCCCAAACTCTTCATTGTCAACCTACAGTGGACACCTAAGGATGACAATGCCACACTGAAGATTCATGGTGAGGGTAGTGTTTTTCTCTACCTCCTATTTTAAGACCATTTCAATACCTTACATGTACCTTTAAACACTGTATGACAAGACCAAGAATGATGTTTTGTTTGCTCCTGTTGTATCCAGGGAAGTGTGATGAACTGATGGTTCTCCTGATGAAGAAACTGAGACTGGACATCCCTCTGTACAGAAGGTACAATTGTCGGTTTATCTTGATGTGAGAAAAACAATGCCGTTTGAAGTGGTATAGCCTGAAAATGTTATCTTATTTATGCTTCTTTGGGGACACTCTCTTTTATATCAAAACTTCACATGTAATCAAGAAGCTTTAAGATGCCAAATCTGATTAACAATGTAGTGAATTGCCCAAGAGATATATTTAAAAGAAACAAGAATTCGCTGTTTTCATTTATTTCATCTTTACTTACAGAGAGAACGATCCCATCTTCAAGTTGGTGACACCGCTGCTATCTGATGAACATGATAGCTTCAGTACACGTCAGCTGACCCTACCAACAGACACTACCTCACTCAGGACTCAACAGGAATCTCTGTCACCCACGTGCAATGGCAATGAGAAAGACACAGACCAAAAAGATCATTCCTCCTACAAGCCAGGCTGGTTTGGCAAGGGTTGTGCCAAAAGGAGAAGCAGTACAGCAAAGAGGAGGAAATCCAACACCACCACTTCTACCTCTGTCAAACTTTCTGAATAGACCTCTGCCTTTTAGATCTTGCAGATAAAATATCTTGTAGTAATTTTATAAAATTGCCACCATACATGGTTGTAGAAGAAAATTTTGAAGTACTATGATGAAATTTTATCTGAGTTTTCCAACAACAGCAATTCTTGGGGATTTGGAAAACAGATGCCTTTGACAGAAAACACTAAATTTGCCGTTGTATTCTAGTGGTAACCATTTTGCTGTTTTTTTTTTTTTAGAATGCATTAGGCTGCTTTTACATTGTGATAGAGTTTACTGGGTAGATTTCCAGGATAACTGATTGATTTAGTTCTTTGTTTAACCTACTCAGAAACAACTGCAAACATCAACAGACTTTAGCAAATATAAAGAAGGCATCTCTGAACAGCAGTGCCAAAGTCAAAGAACAGGTTAAAACTACTGGGTCTTCTGTTCTTGGTTTTGGAACCAGAATCTCTCACAACTTCCCTGTAGTTGTGCATACCTGTGAGACAGAACACTACAAAACAACGTTTACCTAACATCCACAAACAAAACAGCTCTGTACCAAATGACTGATCCTTTCAATATGCAATATTTATTGGTGTTTGCAACATAAATTATGCAATGATTCTTTAACATGTCATCTTCAGGGAACTTCTTATCTCCATTCAGGTTTTTTTTATTCTAGTGGTGTCCTGGTTAACTCTAATAGAGCCCCAAACTACTGACTTTTGTATCTGTTACATGTATCTGTTGTGTGTTACACAAACAACAATGGTTTTGTGAAAAAAAATCAAATCCATACAATTGCCTACAACATAACATCTCAGGTTTTACAGACTCCAAGTCTCTAAATGTCATTCAAGCTTTTAAGACACAATGAGAACAAATATTAACAGAAAGTGGTTTTAAAGTCATAACTCAATAGAGATCATAACTCTAGTGATGATAAGTCTATGATGAACTTGTGTACTGATTTTAAAAGAGCACAGGGCTTGAACAAGGGACTTTTACAGAACCTTTACATGAAATGTTTGTGGGAATTTTCAATTCTGTTACTCTTGAAGGCAGGCTGTCATGTTTTCAATAGAAATTGATCTAAGTGTTGTGAAAGTATTACCATCTTAATACAGAAAATGTGTGGAATTATGGAACATGGTGCTATTGTTACAGAGACTAAACCCTAACATAGATTTTTTTTTTTTTAATTGTAGAGTTGATTAGTAGTCTTAGATTGATTTTAAGGGGAAAATAAGTAGATTTTAAACTTTTGGAACTTTTTCATTCTGGTGATATTTTGTTTGCTGTTTCAGGTTGGACCTGTTGTAAAGTTATCAAGCTGTAACCACTGATTTTGTGGTTACCAATTGAAAGTTGTGTTGCAGCACAAGAGTAGCTGCTCTCTAGACTTTTCACCCCACTTAATGTTTTAGAATACATGTACTAGTACCAGTACTGTTAGTTCATTTACTTTTGAAGTGGTTTACATGATATGGTTTACATTAAATTAGACTGTGGTGTGTTTCCTTGTGTTAAATCAAATCCTACTAACTTATTCTATGTTATCCCTGTTGTTAGAAATCTCAATAAGGTTACCAAAGAACAGGGCATGTCAGTGGCATGTTTTCCCCACTTTGGAAATGCCCTACTGGAATATAGTTACATATACAGTGTTTATTGGTAGGTTCTTTCTTTTGGATTGTTTATGAATATACAGAGATTGCTTGCACAATGCAGTGCATGTAATGTTTCATGTTTAAGATTTTGTCTGAAAAGATGCGAAACTCTGGGATTAAAATGGTTTTCTTTTTACTTGAAGAAAGTTTTTGGAAGTTTCTTTGAAATTCATAGCTGGCATCAAGTGTAAGCCGTTTAAGATTATGTTGAAACCTTGATATAAAATAGTTACTACTAGTATATCTAGTTTCTTACACCGTGGTCACTTTCAATGTAAATGCTACCCGTGACTGCTTTTCTACACTGAATTACTAGGCGGCGCTGTTGATTAATGTGCGCTGTGGCGCTGCGCACTGGGCGTCCGTTTGACGGCAAGTCGTAATCATCGCCATCTTGTCTTCACGTCGTTCTCCCTTGTTTGCGGCATGAGCGCCCAAACTTCCGCAGAAGCGGCGGATTCAAGCGCCACAACCACCACAAACACACCGCGGGATGGTAAGGAACGTTTTAGTCCCACAATCGTGGGATTTATCCACGTAGATCGCCAGAAAATGACGAATATGCGTCCAAACTGACATGGCGGTAAAACCGTGCCAGGAGAGTTTTTTAGGGGGCAGGAGGTCGGATAGAGGGGCGGGCTTTTGGTTCCGAAGTGAAGTTTACCCTGGCCTTGATGACGCGTTTTCATATAGGCATTGATTTTTATATCAAGGTTGACAGATTTGATGGCTTTTTATCTCCAGTGTGTTTTCTAACTAAAGTGGGGAGGGGCAGAAATGGCAGCACTGGGCGCTGTTTGGATGGCCCCCTGGATGGCTCTTCCTACCCAGCCCATGACCACGCCCCTCCCCATGACCACGCCCCTTCCCACTAATCCACTATTGCCTTTGGCAGGACCATCCTGTCAATTATACAGGTTTTCCTACTATTGACAGGATCATCCTACTCTGTTATTGACAGGATGATCCTGTCAATAACCATTTCCTTCACATTGAATCATTTGTCTAAGATGTGGGGAAATCTGCTTACTTGGCAGACAAGGAGGTTTTGAAATAGATGGAAAGTAAGAAATTTGAGAACTTGCATTCTTCAACTCTTCAAGAGAATAGGGAGTTTCTGACTCAAACCAGTTGATCATTGATATTTACTGTTAGAATTTTTCCCTGGAAACCCCTTCAGAGATAGTAAAAGTTATAGTATAAAAGTAAAACAAACAAACAAACATTGATTGAAAATCTAGTCTGAACATTGCTGCACCTTTGTCAGGTAGTGCAGCCATTGACAGCCACAGATGTGGCACGTGTGGGCAGGAGTTCAGGGGACTACCAGAGTTCCTCCAGCACAAGCTCAACACAGCCGCCTGCCGAGACTCGGAGCTCAGCGACTGGTGGGAACAACAGAAGAAAACCCTGCTAGCACAGGGGCAAGACATGGAAGAGGGGGAGGTCCGCACATCCAGTAAACAGAAAGGTGTCTGTCAGTGATTTATGATTTCATTATAAAGACAATACATGTATCTACATACACATGTATTACATATATCACAAATGTAGTAAGTGTTCTTAATTAACATGGAAAAGAGGTGTATACCGTGTATTATGAAAACAAGAAGCTGAATAAATTTCAGAACTTTACACCCAGTACTGAGATACAAAAACAAACACATGCCTAAGTGTAGTTTTTTTTTAAATCTAAATGTCTTTCATGTCTTTGCTCCATCCTCAGAGGATGACCCATCTGCCGTGGCTAAAGGCTCGGTGACAACTGTCCATGCTGAGAGAAGGTCGGCCAGGCATGCTGCTAGGCAGGGTACGTTCATTTATCCATCAGTCCATCTAACCATCCATCCTTCCTCCATCCATCCATCCCCCATCCATTCATCCATCCCTTCATCCATCTATCCATCCATCCTTCCTCCATCCATCCATCCATCCTGCTTCCATCCATCCAAGCCTTTGGAGTTCCCTACATCTATCCCTTTATCCATCCATCCCTTCATCCCTTTATCCATCCATCCCTTCATCCATTCATCCATCCATCCCTTGATCCCTTCATCCATCCATCCCTTCATCCATCCATCCATCCTTCCATCTATCCATCCATCCCTTCATCCATCCATCTATTAATCCAGAACTTCGTTTTGTTTCCTTAGCAATGGAGGCTGCAAAGAAGTCTGCTAGCACATCCTCTGATGAAGATAACAGGCCGTTGACCCCCAACACGTGTGCCATCTGTTCTAAACACTTCCAGAACTCCTACTATCTCCAGAAACATGAGCTGAGCCACAGGGAGGGCAAGACTATGGAGTGTAACAAGTCAGTAGTGCATAACGTACTTTGTATGTGGAAAGATACAAAACAAATGGGAAATTTCTGACATAGATCAGAATTTTACAGAAATAAAGAAACCTGCACCACAATAGACAGAGGTTTCAAATGAATAGTATTACATAATGTTGCTAAATTTTAAAGGGAAATATCTTGATATGTAAACCGTTACTTTACATGTATTATCCATGACTTACAAAGAGTGCTTCCCTCGAGCAGTTAAAAATAGTTTCAAAACAAAAGAAAATACATCCTGCATTGTGCTTACCTCTAGAACTGACCCATATGTTACAATAAGCCCGTCCTTGTTCACAGGTGTAACAAGTTCTTCAGACGACCTTCAGACCTGCGTGCTCACCAGCGCAGTCATCGGAGTACCCGGCCATACTCATGCGAAGTGTGCGGTAGATCCTTCAAACAGGTCTGTTCACACAACAGTCAAGACTTTCTCTTGCAGTGTAGAATTTCCATATATGGCTATTTATGGCTGTTACATTTACCCCCTCTGAGATTTCAAATTTCACTTGGTTATTATTTGCAATACCAGCATCAGGTTCTACGAGCCCACCAGAAGACTCATGCAGACAGCAGAGACTTTAAATGTGACAAATGTGGAGACGAGTTTAAAACAAAAGGATCACTGAAGAGGCATGAGCGTAGGCACACAGGTGATGACACATGCACAATACTGTTACTTCTATTATATATACTTAGTACATCATGTACTATACTTTTAATGGCTACACTTTCATCATAATATATATGCTATACTTCTGATTTGAAAAACTTCAAAAAGAAAGATCAGAAGCCAATAAGCTTACAATACAAGTACATGTAGCTTTTTAGTCCATTAACTTGGATGTGAATTTTGTTCACAAACTTAGACTTTTATTTTTTTTCTGATACATTGTATAATTCTGTTTGCTCCATTGTTCCATTTGTTGACTGTCAGCACATGTGATGACTCCCCCTGCAGGTGAAAGGCCTTACAAGTGTAACAAGTGCGGCCGCGGGTTCTCGGAGTCCGGTGCCCTGCTGCGACATCACAAGGCGCTCATCCCGTGCACGGAGAAGGCGAAAACGTCCAACTTCAGCCAGGTCAGGGTTCGCTCCGTCGACAACCCCGATTCAGCAGAGACACTCGTGCACATGACCAGGAGCAGAACAAGGAATGCTGGGAATGTGGCAGCAGAGGATGCTGGGAGTGCTGCAGGGGATGGAGCAGGGGATGATGGGAATGGAGAGGCAGGGGATGATGGGATGGAAGAGGTGGAACCTGTTGAAGTTGAGCTGGGGATGACCTCTGTGGAAGGTCAACTAGAAGGGATACAAGTTGAAGAAGCTACCACTGCTGTAGAGGGGGAGGAGCCTCTGGACAATATTGAAGAAGGTAAGATAGGCTCTTTTTAGTTAGGCAAAGCTTTAATGATTTTTAATACTAGTGGCCAAATTTTAATAATTCATTATTGATATAACAAAATATGGTGGAAGATAGGAATTTGGAAATAAAATTGTACAATGATACTTGCTTATACATGTAGAAAAAAATATGCACAAGTCTGCCCCTGAACAATTTGAACTAGTGCCGATGTTTCAATAAACAAGCTACACAACTCTGTAAGTACAAACTGATGAAACTACATGAATTTACATATCAGTTCTTATGTGGGACATATCCCTGCAATTCCCCCACAGAAGACGGTGAAGGAAACAATCAGGACAGTCCCAAAGAACCCCCTAACCAGTGCAGGGTGTGCAAGGTGGTTCATCCAACCAGCAGTAGCCTGAAAGTACACCTGCTGACTGCTCACCTACAGGTCAGGACAGGTGTTCAGCTGTCGTTGTGGTCAATGTGCTATACTAGTATATGTAATCAACTCGAATGGTAACATTTGCAAAGCAAGTGCATAATGTTTGCCTTCACTTATGGTCTGCTTATGATCTTAATTCTTACTCGAACACATTCATATATATATGGTGAGTCTAAATCAATCTTGCTATAAAATTGTAACATGATGTAACCAAACACATGGTGACAGACATCTAGTTCAGGTCATTGACCTTACTTGTTTGGAGAAGAAGAGGAAGAAGAAACAGACAGGGACTGCACTCAGTCTTGTAGTTTGTAAGTTTGGGAGTTGATAGGTTTTGTCAACACCAACAATGGCTTACTAATCTTGTTGAAATGTGGGGAAGGGTTTTAGAAACTAGAACTGTCTGTGGGGCAGAGAGCTTGCAGCATTTCTTCCAAAGGATGACAATCCCTGCCTGTAAAACTGTTCCAAAGCATCTGAAGGTGACGCGTTAGATAGGGCCACTGTAGGTAACACCTGTATTTTATTCCAGAACATGCCGTTCCGCTGTGGTTTGTGTGCGTTCTGCACGGGGGAGCGGGCAGAGCTACAGAAGCACATGCTGGTGAAACACCGGCGACACCTGGGGGAGGGGCAGTACCTGGATGTGGTGCAGGTGGACAGTCAGGGCAACATCCAGCCTCTACCCAGGCCTCATGATAAACGCATGCCTGAGATGGCTGCTGGCAACACAGAGGAGGTAGCCTAAGTAGCCTGAGATTCAGGCTAATTCAGCTTGTGTACTGTTGTAGGGATGGTTGGAGCAGACAGTTTAGTTGATCTTAGACAACAAAAGGTGATACTGAGAGTTTTGCACAGCTGTAAATGATATTGAATTCTGTCATACCTACATCCGGATCCCACTACTACTAGTATACATTATATGTATAATCGTAATATTTCTAGATGAACCAATTTTGGACAAGCATGTACCTTCTACATTTGCAGCATGGTGACAGTATTTAAGTTAATTTTTTTTTTCAGTTTTCAAGGATTTACAAATATTTACAAAATGTTCACCCCAGGAAACAGCAGCAGATCTGCTTGGAGAGGCGATGGCCAACTCTGGGATCTCCTCAGATGAGACAGAGATGGTCCACACTGCCATGCAGACAGAGGAGACAGCCATCGACGTGGAGGGCAACCCAGCAGCAAACGCCGCCTTGGAACAACTGTTGGAACTGCAGCACATGGCAGAGTCAGCCAGCCAGGTACATTGTATGCAGCAGGTCTTGTAGGTCTGACATAATATAAGCTACTCACATTTATCGAATCTAGCACAAAAGATTTCAACAGACTCCATGCTATGGACAGATTCATAATTATTATATAAATTATCTTCAAATGCAGCAACTCTTACAATGCAAAAATAGGTAAATACATGAAAGACTGTTTTGTTATAATATTAGAAATTGATAATTATAGCCCTACTTGATTGTATACAGTATTATCTCTAGATGCTTAGTAATTAGGTTGTTAATTTTCATTCTATACCCTTTTTTGTACTTTTGTACATGTTCAGTAGTCATTGCCATACGTTGTACCTTGTACAATTGTTGTGCAATAAAGTTCTTTTTCTATAACATGATTAGACCATGAGTCCCAATGACAGCAGTCATAGTCATCACCAGCAGTCCAATCATGTACAAACATACAACACTTCTCGGTGGTTTAATGTGTTTGTTTCTACCGTAGCCTCCTGTGCAGGCTGGCTTACACAGCCACAGGACCTTACACAGGTGTCCACATGAGGGCTGCAACCGGAGTTTCCGTGGTTCCAGTTACCTCAGACTGCACCAGAGGTCCCATTCAGGTAATTACATTAGTTAAGATTAAATCATACAAAATGAGATCCAGGGCTTAAAACACCTTATATATTTAACAACATACAATTTGACAGCTAAAAAAATACAGCCTCAGTACATGTATTATGAACCTGTACGCTTTACAACTTATATCAGTCAATGGAAAGGTATAGCACCCTGAAAGGGGGGTAACCCCGACCAAAATCTCTCAAGCCTTTATAGTCTATGCCTGGAAATTGTGATCTCTGCCTTAGAACTGCAGGACTCCAGAATGAGATCTATGCTGCTTTGACACAGATCTCATTTACATTTCTTGATTGATTGTCATTTTTCGGACCTGTCATGCTCTTACATAAAGATTTGGCCCTCCCTCCATTGCAGGAGACCGCCCGTTTAAGTGCAGTATATGTGAAGGACACTTTGTGTCCCGCGATGCCCTGAAGCGACACATCGTGACTCACAATGATGAGCGCAGGTACAAGTGCGGGGAGTGTGGCAAGCTGTACAAGCGAATCTCCCACGTGAAGGAACACCTACGTGTGCACTGCCCTGACAAACCCTTCCAATGTCCTCACTGTAAGAAGCACTACAAGACCCAGGTGAGGAAACCCTTCTTCTGTAAGAATATCCTAAAGTCTTAAAGTCTTCATTTGCTGGTGTTGTGACCCACACAATTAGCATGAGCTTGTATTATCTTGTGGCCTATCGGATGGACATTAAGTCGAAAGTATCATGTTTTTGGAGAGCCATACCTCTGGCATGTTAAAGATCCCACTGCACTTATTTAAAATAGCAGGGGTCCTTCCCAGTGTAAGTGGTTCAAACCTTAAACTTATAGTCTAGTGTCTTGGTTGACATTTTTAAAAGTTGATAGTCACCTGTTATGTCAATCTTGTGGTAAGTCTGGTAACTAATGAAAATAAATATCCCTCATCTCTTTTAGAGCTCACTCAGGGTCCACCTACGAACCCACGACAGTGACATGCCGTTTTCCTGTGAGTTCTGTGAGCGAAACTTTCGCGAGAAGGCGTCACTCGTCCGCCATCTGAGGACCCACACGGGAGAGAAGCCCTTCAAGTGTTCGCGGTGCAACAGAGGATTCGCTGAACATGGAACACTCAGGAGGCACCTCAGAGCAAAGGGTTTGTGGAAAAGATTACAGTTTTTTCTGCATTGTGGTCAGTATCGGTCACCATCTAAGTCCCTAATTATAAAAAGAAATACTGAACAGTGCAGAATGTAGGAATGTAATGTTTCAGTTGATGCTTGACCAAGAAAGATGTAATGGTGAATTGCTAAGTAAGATTCTGGCTCAAAGTTTGGAAATTCATTGTCTTGTTTTTTCTGAATGTTTTGTTAGCTGCCACAGTCATCACAATAGCTTAATAACTTTGATTTGTAATAATGTCAAATCTGTAGGTGGATGCCGGGTAGCCAGTTCTTCAGGCCAGGCACCAGGTATGGATGCAGTGGACGCCCCTCCAGCAGAGGAGGTCCCCACAGTTTTAGTGGAGTTCTCCTCCATGGTGGCAGATACACAGTCTTACATCATCCAGGGCTCCGACCACGGACAAGATGGCAGCACAGAGGGGCAGGCTTCACAGACTATACAGGTATCATGTCCTATTTTGGCTTTTGTTTGGGTAAAGGTAGTTTTACGCCTGGGTGGAGAGACAAGTAGTATAAAGTGCCTTTCCCAAAGATACAACATCTGTCCAGGTATCGAACCGGAACTTCTCAATCTTGTGTTAGCCAGCCTAGCTCACTTGGCCTTTTGATACCTTATGGCTTTTGATCAAACTAACTAAAATTTGCATCCTTCTTGGCCACCCCTTGTAGCTGATGTTTTTGGTATGTCCCATGCAACTTGTATCCACCATACAAGATTCAATTGATTTACGGTTGTCATGGTAATGTTTAGCATTCCTAACTCTGATTGGTCCATGTCCTGTTGCAGGTGATGGAAGGTGTGACCAATGACCAGCTAGTAGAGGCACTGAGAATTGCCCAGGCCAGTGGGGAAGTTCAGGAGGTCCAGGTCCAACAGGTTGGAACTTGGTTATTGGTTATGTTATTGTTAATGCCTTAATCATTATGCCAAACTTATGTACACAGTCAAATCTGCCCAAGAAGACCACTCAGGGGACCAATAAATTGTGTTTTATGTCGACAGGTGGTCACTATAGACAGGATATCTTGCTTGTTTAAGTGGGAAAAATTAGCTAAGGGACCACCAAGAAGTGGTCACATTGGCTAAGTGGTTCTAATGTAGAGGTGGTCACTTGTACATGTTTGTCTGTAGTAGACTTTAAGTTTGAAAAACCTGTAGTGGATGTGCTACATTTGATACTGAGTAGACTTGCTACTTGTTGCTGTATCCATGTGTTTATTGGTTATTTTGCTCAATATCTCCCCCAGGGTGAAGGGATGGAAATGTCGGATCAGCACGGGGCGTCTGTTGTGGTGACCAGCGAGGTCGTTCACCTTGACCCGTCTGTCATCATGACGGCGAGCACTTCCTCCACTGGCGACATCCACAACCTGCCGACAACAGCTGAGATGGTGCCACAGGTCACTGTGTCAGAGGTCATAGGTCATGCTGGAGGGGAGGGTCTTGGCCAGGAGGTGACAACTGTTGGGGAATCGGGCGGCAGGATGGTCAACGTGGTGAAACTGCACCCTGGGAGGGACGATGGCAACGTGCCAACAGACATTGAGACAGTCGTAGTGGAAATGCATTGAAAACGTAACTTTGGCTGTGGTGCATATGCTAGGGATTAGTGTAATCTACACAGCAAGGTGTGATCTTAGTTATTTTGAATGAATTCTTTTAAGTGTTTTAAAAATGTTTTGGGGAGAGGCACCGGGACTAGTACAAGTTATAATGGATTCAGGGAAGAGGCTGATCTGAGAATTCTCGAAGTATTTGTCACCACTGCAAGATGGGAGATCCCTCTAGCAGCTGCCTTTTAAACTGCAGATTATGATAAGTCTGTCAATGGCCAAATTGTACACACATCATCCCTCCTTCATAGCAAGCACATGTACTTTTTATAAACACTTTATACTGCTTAAAACATTTGTCCCTAGAATGTGTGAAAATTGGCATGTCTGACATAACTCAGAGTTTGCTTGCTATTGAGGGGTTTTCGCTATGCTATTGTAGACATTAGACATTAATAAGGTATAGAAATTCTGCAATGCTGATTACATCTTAGCAAAAATTTATATTGAAGAAAAATGTTTTTTTTAATAATGACAGAAGTGAATGTTAAGAGAATTTTGTGTGGCTATTCAGGGTTCAAAATACTAGTACATGTACTGACTCTCTCTGTGCAAGTCATGGTTTCTGTGGAACTTATTGGAGACCCCAGGTTGCCCAGTGCAAAAGTGACTGATTCTGAAATAAGCTGCATCCCGCCTCGGCCAGCATGTGAATGGTACTCTAGTACTTTTACAAGTGCCGTGGCTTATGGCTTGAGTTCGAAAATAAACATCCAGTGCTAGCTTTTGGATAAGGTTGCCTCGTGGGCAACCCAAGGAAAAAGTATTTCAAACCCTGCCTCTTCTCATGCTACCAAGGGTAAGAAAGACCCACCACTCTAACCAGTGTTACAAACAGTGAATGTTCAATAGCCTTGTGCTACCCTTCAGCAGAATATGCAGAGTAAGAAGGTTAGCTATTTAATTGCTGATTTTCATGTACATAAATAACGGCAAGACATTAGAATTTGTGGCTGAAACTACATTGATTATACCAACATGTAATTTTAATGCAAGTAGAAGTAACATACTGCTGAAGCACTGAGAGTTGTTTGTTTCTTTTCTAATTGTTTCTGATGGAAGTTGCTCAGACATTTGGCCATATTTTGGCTATATACACCAAACGTTTTGTAAACAAGCTGACCATGCCATGTTGCTTACAATTCACAGCATAGAAACATAGAACTTAGAAGTGCTTCTAGTATTATAGAAATACATGTATTGTGAACTGTATTTCTTGTAATCAATGAACATGCAAAATACATGGCACTGCATAGTACATGTACAAATGTCACACAATATAGGGTTTGAAATGGAAGATTAGTTAGGACATTCCATTCAACATCAAAGTATCAACATAGATTACATCTCTTAACCTTCTGACTGGTACTTAACCTGGTAACCAATTCTGAGTTGGTGCCTAAAGGCTACCTTAGCAGGATGAAGGTTAAAAACAAGTGATTTACTTCTTCCAAAGGGAAAGTGCACCTACCAGTGTGAAGCCCACCAGGTTGTCCTGTTCAGGAGAGGTATGAGGGACATCCTGTTGGGGTTCACACTGATAGGTGCATAGCAATTGGGGCAGCCACAGATGTCACATAGCAAGGCAACCTCAGGCAACAGAGAACATATCTTACATCTGGAATGTTTAGATGTAATGACTAGTTCCTGTTGTGCCAGAGGTTGCCAGTGTGACTGCCCCTGCTGGCTTTTTTCCACAGGCTTCCCCAGCTTTCGTACCACAGTAACTGTCACAGTAAAAAAAATGGGTAAACCCATGAGAAGAAGCCACCAAGGACAGCCAGGGGAGGGGAGGTTCCCTATGGGGTCTCTGTGAAAGCTGCAACAGTGTGTCTTGGGGGCAGCAGTCTTCACTCCTGACCCCCTTGTGGTCCTTGCAGCAGTGGCTTTCACTTGGTGGCACTCTGGAGCCAAGTTTGGGAGTGAAGGAAGCTGACAATTGGGAAAAAGATTGATGTCAGATGGGCAATATTCTGCACAGATATGTTGAGATCCGTGTATATAAATTGCAGATGTAAATCGTTGATTACTTTTGTTTCTTTGCCATTCCATTTCCTGTCAATTTTCTCCATCCTACTGTGAATCCAGGTACATGTATATAACTACAATAATTTTGAGGGAAATCACCTCCTCCTTTTATTCTGATGAAATGTTATATGTAATGTAAAACAAATTCAGTCTTACAGTTCAAGTGCCAAGTTACATTCTCACCTCAGGGTCGTCACTGTTCACGAGGCTTCTCTCTCGACTGTCCCCACGAGCACCAATCATAGGGCGGCTAGGTGATCGGGCGCAGTGTGTAGGACCGTAATGTAGCTCATATCGGGACAATCTCTTCGTTGTCACAGCTTTGGGCACAAAGATGCCTTCTCCCCACACATACAGCACTGGAACCTATGAAACAAGTATAAAATACACTGTATTTAGTAGATGAGGACCTCTAGTGATTTTGTAATGAGCTGCAGCAGCTAATGTGTCTTACATGTATTATTGTTTTAGTTCTCAGTAATTGATTTCCATGCCAGGCAAGGTAACTAGAACTTACACACACAATACATACAACATCAGCATACTTGCACTTGATTTAACATTTAGCTAATGATCCAAAACTTTGCTAACATCGATTTAAAAGTTACAATGCTTTCAGAAGCAAACTAACTTTTGTACATCATCTTTGTAGAACAAGGCAACAAAAGATCAAATCAGGTGCATAAAAAAATGATCAATTTACCTCCACAGGATCCAGCAGGTGGAACTCTAGATCTTCTTCTGTACCACAGTACGAATGTTGATCTGGATCGGACTCCATAGGATCCAGGAGCTGTATCACCTCTGTATTACAGTATGACTCCATAGGATCCAGGAGCTGGACCATCTCTGTTGCAAAATCTGACTGCTGATCAATCTCAAAAGGATCCAGGATCTGGATCATTCCCTCCCTAGCAAAATCTGACTGCTGATCAATCTCAGTAGGATCCATGATCTGAAAGCCCTCCTCTGCAGCGCAGTGTGACTGGACCTGTGGCAGTGGTACACTGGACGTGCATACAGCCAGTCTTTCCTCGATGCTGTGAACATCAGTCTCCTCATCTGTTGTCCACTCCTCACTGTCAGACTCGTATATTGTACCCACCTCAATCCTTGGTAAGTATACTCCAGTGTCAAGGGCATGAAGTTGATGAATTTCCTCAGCCATGGCCACGTCACAAGTCACAAGCTTGTTGTGGGGTGTCTCGCTCTCGGTCTGTCCAGTCTCCTCATCAGTCCACTCCTCACCATCAGACTCGTATATTGTCCCCACCTTGCTTCTTGACAAGCAGACCCAACTGTCATTGTTAAGGTCATTGAGCAGCTGATGCTCATTAAGCCCAGTTGTGTCACAGGCTGCAAATGTGTCATAGGGGTTTACCCTGTTCTCACAGTCAGAGAGACTTGTCAAGAACTTTCTCAAGATCAAGTCAGGGCCGCAGTCATCGTCCACACTGGCCCGAAACCTGCACACCCACTGTAGAGTGAGGGGGAACACAGTGGTGTGGTTGTTGCAGGGAGTCTTCTCCATGAAAATATCCTCTTCTTCCTCGTCTGAGAAATACAGATCATCCTCAGCCATCTGAAGTCCATCAACCTGTGATAACAGAAACAACAACCAATGTAGTTATCTACTCAGGACATAGTGATACATAAACATATTCTATATCATCAAACTTAGTGAAAAACATCTCAACACTTTGCAGAAATATCGAATTTTTGTGGGATATCCATTGAACTGCCTGCCCTTACAATATTACATGGACGTCCTGAACCGATGATATGTGAGTAAAAAGTCATTTCAGCACCAAGGACAGGTTCAAGGAGCACAACTGCTCGTTAGTTTTTCATGCTAAAAGGCACTCTCGTGATGGAAATATGTTACGATGATAGACTTTTGACAACACAAAGATATCACCTTAACGGGCCTATTTATTTTCTGCACAGGACAACCTGACCTTTTCCGGCAGAAAAATCCTGTATTGCATGAACTATCATTCTAGTTTCAGACATTTTATCCCAATCTTTTCAGTCCTGGCATAGCCTGGACGTCAGACTAGGTGCCGGAAGTGATCTAGACAACTCAGTCGGTAACTGGGTGGGCCGGGGCTCATGGCAGACGCTCATTACGCCCGCTGTATATCGTCACTAAAAACCCATACAGCCGTTACATTTAAGCACTCATATCTTCTGTACTTAAGAATTGTTTCCTGTCGACCGTATAGGTTATAACCAACATTCACGACCACTGTACAAGGAGGTTGTGGTGTCTGCCATCATGTTGCGAGACGATATAAGTTACATGTACTGCAACTCAGTAGTGCAAGTGTTGAGCCCGCGTGTCTTCGTATCTCCGCACGGGCAAAATGTCCAAAATGCCCCCACTAACCATCAACAGACATTGTACAATGTTAAACCCACCACTAGACGGTGTTCTTGGACTTGATTTCTCTCCATAATCTTATTTTCCAAAGCCAAGTTCACGAGCGTAACCTTCGCCATGCTTCTGGTCACGACTTTCGAACAGCTCTGGTTTCATCTGATCTGAAGTAAACAAAAGCTGTGGTCATGGCAACCAGAAGCAACCAATAGGAGACGAGATTAATTGTACCGATTCAACCAATCCGCTGCTGCGATATACTTGACATTGACCAATCAGGTCAGTACTCTTTTTATATGATTTTTCGACTGTTCCATTTGGAAAATAGGAAGGAGGTGTGAGATTGTTTTTTTTTTGTTCGTTCCTTTATTTTTGATCCAGTTTGTTAAGTTTAGCAGTTCAAGGAGGTTATAGTTGAAATGGTTTGAATTTATGTTGATCTACTGAATCACTAGTGCCTGTGATATGTCGGACCCTCGCTGAAAAAAAAATCAAGGCAATCTCTGTTTACCTCTTTCGTATGAAATTTACTAGTGGTCTATTACAAAGTTACTAGTACTCAAAGTATAGCCGTGGCGACTATTGATTCGGGCTTACATTGCATTACCCTCTGAGGGTAATGCAATGTAAGCCCGAATCAATAGTCGCCACGGCTACTCAAAGTAACTTCATCGAAGTTGCAAATGAATAGATGAGTATCATATTTATCATTTCGTGCACGTTATTTACAACTGTTGCATGAAAGGCATTGTTTATAGGTCTTTGTTTGCTAACAAAGAATGACGTAGTAGTTTTGGGTTCACTTCAGGTCAACATTGTTTACAACTGACAAAGAAATGCCTGGCAGACTTGTCATGCATTGTGCAGTTATGCAGTAATCATATTCTCCGCCGTCATGTGTGAGATATGCTGGGCTATACGTGTTGGTTTAATATTCCATGACTACTAATAATATACGCGACCCAGTTTCACACCCAGATCTTCTGACATGTTGTTGATATATCAGTGGTCAGGGAATTTCCCATAAGGCCTAGCGCTCTAAGATGGCGCCGTGCAGTTCACCGATCGATGTTCCTGTTCTTCTGAACGAAATTTCCTGATCATCTGCGCCAAACGGGCTCCTTGTGCAAGGCTGAGAGGCATGAGTGAAGCTAGGGTATGATTCAGAGGCCCTCCGGTAGCCGACCCAGGCGACAACGCA